GTAAGCACATGCTTTGTTTAGGGATTTTAAAAAAATTATTGTTGTTGTTGTTGTTTTAAAAAAATTGTTGTTGTTGTTGTTATTATTATTATTATTATTATTATTGAGACCGAGTCTTACTCTGTTGCCCAGGCTGGAGTGTGGTGGCGTGATACTGGCTCACTGTAACGTTTGCCTCCCAGGTTCAAGCAATACTCCTGCCTCAGCCTCCCCAGTAGCTGGGATTATAGGTGCCTGCCACCACGCCTGGCTAATTAAAAACATTATGTTTACATCTTGAAAAATACATTTAAATCTCTAAGATTTGAAGATATTAGGTTATTTATTTATTCTTCCCAGCCAACTTTACTGAGGTATGAATGATAAATAATTGTGTAGCTAAATCTACATCTGTCTATCTTTCTATCAACAATCATCTATCTATCAATCAGTCATCTGTCTATCTGATAAATGACATGACTTTTTGGAGACAGTGTCTCACACTGTCAGCCTTGACCTCCCAGGCTCGAGATTTTCCCACCTCAGCCTCAGTGGGACCACAGGCACATATTACCAGGCCTGGCTACTTCAAAAAATTTTTTTTGGTAGAAACGGGGGTCTCCCTGTGCTGCCTAGGCTGGTCTCAAATTCCTGGGCTCAAGCAGTCCTCCCGCCTTGGCTTCCCAAAGTGCTGAGATTACAAGCATGAGCCACCTCACCTGGCTACATTTTGATATATGTGCACATTGTGAAATCATTACCACAGTCAAGCTAACATATCCATCACCTCAGCTGGTTACATAGGCTCTGTTGCCCAGGCTGGAGTGCAGTGGTGTGATCTCGGCTCACTGCAGCCTCCGCCCCCTGGGTTCAAGCAGTTCTCCTGCTTCAGCCTCTTTAGTAGCTGGGATTACAGGCGTGTGCCACCACACCCAGCTAATTTTTGTATTTTTAGTAGAGATGGGGTTTCGCCATGTTGGCCAGGCTGATCTCGAACTCCTGACCTCAGGTGATCCACCTGCCTTGGGCTCCCAAAGTGCTGGGATTACAGGTGTGAGCCACTGCGCCCAGCCCTTCTCTCTCTCTTTTTTTTTTTTTGTTGAGCTAGTTATCTTTTTAAAAATTTTGTATTGGCTGGGTGTATTGGCTCATGCCTGTAATCCCAGCACTTTTGGAGGCAGAGGCAGGCAGATCACAAGGTCAGGAGTTTAAGACCAGCCTGGCCAACATAGTGAAACCTCGTTTCTAGTAAAAATACAAAAATTACTTGGCGTGGTGGCATGTGCCTGTAGTCCCAGCTACTCAGGAGGCTGAGAGGCAGAAGAATTGTTTGAACCCGGGATGTGGAGGTTGCTGTGAGTTGAGATCGTACCGTTGCACTCCAGCTTGGGCAATAAGAGTGAAACTCTGTCTCAAAAAAAAAAATATTGTGGCAAGAACACTTGAGATCTACTCTCTCAGCAAAAATCAAGTATTCAGTACATTGTGTCCAGAACTTACTTACCATATAACTGAAAATTTATACCTATTGACCACCATACCTTTTCACTCACCCCCCAGTCCCATAACAGTTCAACTTTTTTTTTTAAATAGATTCCGTAGAGGCCAGGCGCTGTGGCTCATGCCTGTAATCCCAGCACTTTGGGAGGCCAAGGCAGGTGGATCACCTGAGGTCAGGAGATCGAGACCATCCTGGCCAACATGGTGAAATCCCATCTCTATTAAAAATACAAAAATTAGTCAGGTGTGGTGGTGGGCGCCTGTAATCCCAGCTACTTGGGAGGCTGAGGCTGGATAATTGCTAGAACCCGGGAGTCGGAGGTTGCAGTGAGCTGAGATCGCGCCACTGTACTCCAGCCTGGTGACAGAGGGAGACTCCATCTTGGGGGAAAAAAAAAAAAAAAAAGCGGTACCCAGTGGCTCACGCCTGTAATCCCAGCACTTTGGGAAGCCAAGGCGGGAGGATCACGAGGTCAGGAGATCAAGACCATCCTGGCTAACATGGTGAAACCCTGTCTCTACTGAAAATACAAAAAATGAGCTGGGCATGGTGGCGGGCGCCTGTAGTCCCAGCTACTCGGGAAACTGAGGCAGGAGAATGGCGTGAACCCGGGAGGTGGAGCTTGCAGTGAGCCGAGATCGGGCCACTGCTCTTCAGCCTGGGCGACAGTGTGAGATTCTGTCTCAAAAATAAACAAATAAATAAAGATTCCATATATAAGTGAGATCACATAGTATTTGTCTTTCTGTGTCTGGCTTATTTCACTTAGCATGTATTTCAAGTTCGTTCATGTTGTAAATGACAGGATTTTCTTTGTTTTTAAGGCTGAATAATCTTCCATTCTCTATGTGTATATATGCCACATTTTCTTTATCTGTTGACAGCATGTTTCTACATCTTGGGTACTGTGAATAATGCTGGAATGAACAAATGTTTCTTTGAGATAATGATTTTCTTTCCTTTGGACATATGCTCAGAAGTGGGATTGTTGGTAATTCTACTTTTAAGTTTTTCTGGACTCTCCATACTCTCCCACCAGCAGTAGACCAGGGTTCCCTTTCTGTATATCCTCACCACTGTGTAATCGCTTTTGACTCTTTGATAGTAGCCATTCTGACAGGTATAAGGTGATATTTCACTGTGGCTTAAATTTGCATTTCCCTGATGATTAGTAATGTTGAGCATCTTTTCATAAGACTGTTGGCCGTTTTTATGTCTTTGGAAAAATGTGTATTCAGATCCTTTGCCCATCTGTTAATTGAATTATTTGGGGTTTTTTTGTTTTTTGTTTTTTTTGCTATTGAATTGTTTGAGTTCCTTATTATGTATTTTAGATATTAGCCCCTTATCAGATACATGGTTTGCGAATATTTTCTCCCATTCCATAGGTCGCCTTTTCATTTTATTGTTTCCTTTACCGTGCAGAAGCTTTTTAGTTACATGTGGTTCCACTTCACTGTTTTTGTTTTTGTTGTCTGCGCTTTGGTCTCAAATCCAAAAAGTCATTGTCAAGACCAGTGTTTTCTTCTAGGAGTTTTGTGGTTTCAAGTTTAAGTCTTTAATCTATTTTGAGTTGATTTTTGTGTATTGTATAAGATAAGGGTCCAGGCCGGGTGTAGTGGCTCATGCCTGTAATCCCAACACTTTGGGAGGCCGAGGCAGGCGGATCACGAATTCAGGAGTTCAAGACCAGCCTGACCAACATGGTGAAACCCCATCTCTAGGATCATGAGGTCAGGAGTTCCAGACCAGCCTGACCAAGATGATGAAACCCCATCTCTACTAGAAATACAAAAACTAGCTGGGCGTGGTGACGTGTGCCTGTAATCCCAGCTACTCTGGAGGCTGAGGCAGGACAACTGCTTGAACCCAGGAGGCGGAGGTTATAGTGAGCTGAGATCACACCACTGCACTCCAGCTTGGGTGACCGAGCAATATTCTGTCTCAAAAAAAAGACAGGATCTTGCTATGTTGCCCAGGCTGGACTTGAACTCCTGGGCTCAAGCAGTCCTGCAACAGCCTCCTGAATAGCCAAAACTATAGGTGTGCACCACTGCCTGCAGCGCCAACACCATTTATTGGTGCCTGTGTCAAAATTAGTTGATTATATGTGCATGGGTTCATTTTTAGATTCTTTGTTCTATTGCATTGGTCTATTTGTTTGTTTTTAGGCCAGTATTAGGTAATTTTATATATGATGAACTGTTTAAAGTTAAAATATTCTGATTCATAACCTAAATTTAAAAAAAATTATACCTAGTTTTTTTTTTTTTTTCATTATCTAAATTTTATCTAAAAGAAATGTGCAGGTATTTATAATGTAGTTAGACTTGCCTGTGTCTTTCTGTACTTAGTGGGAATTTACTGTCAATTATTTGTACTAGAGTTAATCGTGTAACAAATTTGATAGAAATGTAATTTTTTTTTTTTTTTTTTTTTGAGACGGAGTCTCGCTCTGTTGCCCAGGCTGGAGTGCAGTGGCCGAATATCAGCTCACTGCAAGCTCCACCTCCTGGGTTTACGCCATTCTCCTGCCTCAGCCTCCCGAGTAGCTGGGACTATAGGCGCCTGCCACCTCGCCCGGCTATTTTTTTGTATTTTTTAGTAGAGACGGGGTTTCATCGTGTTAGCCAGGATGGTCTCGATCTCCTGACCTCGTGATCCTCCCGTCTCGGCCTCCCAAAGTGCTGGGATTACAGGCTTGAGCCACCACGCCCGGCCAGAAATGTAATTTTTCTTTAGGTCTCTAGTAGGCCAGAAACAGGGACTTTTAGGGGGAGTTTTAATAATGTGAAAGTAATGAAGCCGAAGATAAGTAAGTTTTTAAAAGGAAAAATAAGAATGTTCTTTCTTTTTATTAAAGAAAAGATCTGGATCTATTTGAAACTCGCTGTAGCTCTGAAAACATGAAATGACTTAATTTGTAAGAAGTTATTAAAAGAGATTTTTGTGAGTGGGAAATGGGGGAAACAACTTACTAGATTTTTAAGTTAGTTTTAAATACAGTTAGACAATAATTCATTAGAATAAATTGCTATTTTTCATTCTTACATTGTAAAATATGAAATCAAGTTAGTAACAATTAGGGAACTTTTTACGTAAGTACTTAATTGAAGACATGTTTTGAAACCACTCACTTCTCTTTGCAGCATTTATTCTGGCCAAGTTTTTTTTGTACAAGTCCATCATTGCTCTATAATAGCAATGTTGTATTATAATCACTTTAGGGGTGCCGGAAACGTTGGACACATTGGTTAATTGTTTTATGTTTCTTTATGCTTATAATTTCAAGGATACTTTCTTGAAATTCACTGTTTCACAGAGGGGGATGAAGAAAGGAGGAGTTAATTTTTTTATCATTATATCTCACAGTTCTGTTGCTTTTCTGCCTTTTAGACAAACGAATTGCTGAGTAATTTTCTTACATTATGATTCAGAAAGTAATTGAACTGAACTTACTGATCTTTTTTAACTTTGTTCTAAGTTCTTCATCTCTGTGCTTCTACATTTTATGTGTTAGGTATAATTGAAGTCCTGAAAGTAATGCAAGAATTGGGAGTACCTCCTGATCAGGAAACATACATAGGTTACGTGATTCCATGCTTCAATAGTATAAAGTCAGCACGTGCCATTTTGCAGGTGAGTACAAGTGTGGTTTTAATTTAATAATTGAAGAGAGTGTCTTTCCTCCTTAATGTTTAGTAGTCACACACAAAAATGTCATTGAACTGAGGACTCAAAATGGTCAAATCTGTGTACAATTTTTTTTTTTGGAGGCGGAGTTTCCCTCTCGTTGCCCAGGCGGGAATGCAATGGCACAATCTGGGCTCACTGCATCCTCTGCCTCCTGGGTTCAAGCAATTCTTCTGCCTCAGCCTCCCGAGTAGCTGGGATTACAGGATGCGCCACCATGCCTGGCTAATTTTCTATTTTTGATAGAGACAGGGTTTCCTCATGTTGGTCAGGCTGGACTCGAACTCCTGACCTCCGGTGATCCGCCTGCCTCGGCCTCTCCAAGTGCTGGGATTATAGGTGTGAGCCACCGCGCCCGGCCCTGCATACAATTTTCTAAAGCTTTGTAAAAAATATTAGTTGGTATAACATTTATAGCGTCAAAACTCAAAAAGACAAAGCAGCCTTTTTCTTGTGTATTAAAAAGACAATATGCCAGATTGGGAAAAATTAAAACAATATTAACTCCTGATCCCGCCCTGAAATGCACCTGAAATTTTCATTTATAAATTAGATTTTGTTTTATTTTATTAAAGAAGCAGGGGTTTCAGTACGTTATCCAGGCTGGTCTTGAACTCTGGACTTAAGCAATCATCCTGTCTCAGCCTCCTGAGTAGCTGGGATCATAGGCACATGTTACTGTACCCTGCTTCAGTTTTCACTTTTTGAATATTATTTTTCACTTCCCTATTAATTTTCATAAAGTGTGCACTAATAGTATATATACTAGTCTCTCTCTCTCTCTCTGTCTTTTTTTTTTTTTTAAAACTCCAAACCTTTGTTTTCCTACCAAATACTTCTGGTCCCTACCAGAGTAGGCAAGCTGTTGATAAAGAGGCACATGAAGATGTTGATTGGGACAGTGCATTGGATTAGCAAAGGCTGCATTTTCCACTTTCAAAACAGAATGCTTAGCGCTGAATATATGAGTTACAGAAACAAAACAAAAAGTGCTTTGCAATTAGGAACAAGATGGCAGAGCACCTAATACTTAATAAGGAACATGTTGTTTAAAAGAGGTTTCCTATACAGTCATTCATATAATACCTTGATTTTTCTAATAATGTTAGAGTGTTTCTTTCATTAAAATAATTATATAATTACAGTCTTCTGAAGTGTTAGGGTTTATATCTTCAGTGTCTTCACCTCTTTCCCTAAGTTCTTAGTGGGGTATGTTGAGCCTGTACTATACATACTTTACTGTTAAAAAATTTTTTAAAGTAACTTTCCCACATATTCTTACTTTTTCAGATGTTCTCTTTGCAGAAATATAGCCCCCAGATCCAGTGTCTTCTTGGTTACTGCTTTGGCTTTCTCATTAGTGACTTAGGGAACAGCAGATCTAATTTGGAAACTTATCCCAAATTTGGTTACATTTCATTCTCATCTTAACTGTCTCACCTTCATTGCTGGAATTTCAGTAGTATTGAGCGTTTTGGGCTTGAAAACAACTACTCTGTTAAGTGTTTAATAGAACCCACAGTATTATTGATCTGCTTTTTTTTCTTTTTTCTTTTTTTCTTTTTTCTTTTTTTTTTTTTTGAGGCAGAGTCTCGCTCTGTCGCCCAGGCTAGAGTGCAGTGGTGCAATCTGGGCTCACTGCAACCTCCTCTGCCTACCGGGTTCAAGTGATTCTTCTGCCTCAGCCTCCCAAGTAGCTGGGATTACAAGCACCCACCACCACACCCAGCTAATTTTTGTATTTTTAGTAGAGATGGGATTTCACCATGTTGGCCAGGCTGGTCTCAAACTCCTAATCTTAGGTGATCAGCCTGCCTAGGCCTCCCAAAGTGCTGGCATTACAGGTGTGAGCCACTGCGCCCGGCCTGATAATGCCTTTTGTCTTCAGCTGTACATTAAAAAGTACATTTTTTCATCAATTTTCAGAAATTACATAATAAATGTTTGTTGATAAATTAGAGAATACGAGTAAGTGGTAGGGCTGTACAATCTGTCCATAGTTCCTTGAGATAGTCATTGCTAAGCATGTATATTCTTTCAGATGTATAATAGGCTGGAGAAATCTCTTCTAGCAAAAAAGTATACTGTTCATATTATCAGGCAACTCTTATTATACTGTTCCTATTACCCACCTAACTTGACAGAGGCTACAGTTTAATAAAAAGAAAGAACATTCTTATTTTCCTTTTAAAAAAAAAACTTCTCTTTGGCTTCATTACTTTCAAACTCCCCCTAAAAGTCTCTGTTTCTGGCCTACTAGAGACCTGAAGGAAAATTACATTTCTCTCATATTTGTGTCATGATGAAGTCTTTTTCGTTGGATACCTTTTCATAACAGTATTTAATTCCACAAAATGTATTTTATGTTTGCTGTTTCATTGTATGGGTATGCCATAATTTATTTTTTATCATTGCTTATTGCTGATTAGGTGGTTTTTTTAATACACTATAATAAAATGATTCAACAAATGTATTTGAGCTCAATTTTGACTCATATATTTAAATTGTTAAACAAGTGATGTTGGGACAAGTGATGAGCCTCTGAGTTAAATTAAATTAAATTTGATCCTGGCCAAACTGTATGCCCTAGAATATTTTAGGTTAATCCATTGAATTTTTGTTTTGTCTTGAATGGGAGAATTGTTCTAGTATCCTCAGTAGTAAACTTATCCCAGAAGTAAGGCCCTCTAAAGGCATCAGATCATCTGTATTTGAAGATGAGCATTTAATTTCGAATGTTGGAATGTCATCTTTAAATTTTTGCTAAAATTCAATTTCTGAGCTTATGTATTTTTCTAGAAAATCAGAGAATGTGGTGAGTCAAAGAATCAGGAAGACAGGAACTTTGGCATATCAAAATATTGTTAGCTGAGATGTATTCTCATTGATATATGCTTTATCTCCAGGAAAATGGATGTCTGTCTGATAGTGATACGTTTTCTCAAGCTGAATTGAGAAGCGAAGCAATAAATGGGAACTTAGACTTTGTATTATCATTTTGTAAGTATACAACATTAGCAGTAAACTTGATAGATTTAGTTACTATTGAGGGCATGCAGGGTGATTCATGCAATGAAAGCAAGGAAGGTTTTATATGTTTTATTAAAGCCAGACTGATAAAACGGTTTATGAGCTGAACTTGTGGATAATTTGTAAGTAATTTTAATGTTGTAAGGACATTGAATATTTTATGTAATATGGTGTTAGACTGAAGGCTGGACTGGAGACCCTGAAGATGTGGATATTCTTTATAATTTGGCCACCGATTATGTGATTTAGAAGAAGTCTTCTAACCTCTCTGCTTCACTTTTTAGGGTAGTACTACCCAACTTGGGGGAGTTGTGAAAATCAAATGTGATATTGTTTCTGAAGTGTTTTTTAAACTAACATCTATTACAAAGACTTCTAGTCTTCATTAACAAAAACACAGCAAATGTTTACTAAACATTTTTAAATGCTAGGGTGCTTTATAATGCTTATCACATGTTAATAAAATTATCTCCATTGATAGATGACTAAAGGCGTAGAGAAGTTAAATGATTTGCCCAAGGTTAGTGATTTGAACCAGAAGTAAGATGTTCAGACTTTAACTTTGTTCTTTTCACCATACTGCACTTTATTTTATTTTATTTATTTGTGAGACACAGTCTCACTCTGTCACTTAGGCTGGAATGCAGTGGCGCAAACTCGGCTCACTGCATCCTCCGCCTCCTGGGTTCAAGCGATTCTCCTGCCTCAGCCTCCCAAGTAGCTGGGATTATAGGCACGTGCCACCATGCCCAGCTAATTTTTTGTATTTTTTGTAGAGACAGGGTTTCACCTTGTTGGGTAGGCTGGTCTCGAACTCCTGATCACAAGTGATCCACCTTCCTCAGCCTCCCAAAGTGCTGGGATTACAGGTGTGAGCCACTGTGCCTTACCTGCATTTTATTTTTAATTAATAAATAAGACATTCTTAAGAGACCTTATTTTTTAACATGTCCATGGTGTTGCTTTACAGTTTTTCAGATCTTCTGAAAAATATGTCATTTACAAACAAAACATAGACATACATTAACTTTTAGTTCCCTAAAATGTTAACAGTTAAGCTCTCATTAATGTTATATTCAAATTGTATAGGTGGAAGCTTTATACAAACCGGGTTATTGGTATGTATTACTTGTGAATGTCACTTAAAATATTTGTTGTAATATTGTAAGGGAAAGACAAAGTGTCCAGCATGAAAAATGGTGACTGTTGTAGTTATTTGAGTCAAATACTGAGTATTATTGCTGGCTGCTATCTGAGTGTATTGATTTTGCCTTCCACTCTGTATAACACATAGATTTTCCATACTGACGAGAAAGGAATCTGGGCTCACGAGGTGGATCCACGAGAGCTGCCTTTTCCTTTTATCATATCATCCATTCCACTTCGTTGTCAACCTCTTGATTTTTCAGGCTTGTTTGTTGCTAAGGAAACTAGATGCTTTTTGTCAGCAGCCTTCCAGCTGAGATGTTTCTAGTCACCTTTTTAATGAATAAAAACTTGACAGTATTCTGTAGAATACTATTTTGAATAGTATAAAAATGAATTTTCAAGAGGTTGTTTATTAGATTTGAAAAAGAAAAATGCCAAGAAGTTTGCCAAGTATTTGAGCTTTTCCTGTCAGTGCCTTCCCCTCCAGCTTTGATTTCCAAGTCTTTGAAGAGCTGTTCGTTCTATAATTGCTGGTATGTGCTTTAGGCAGCTCTTAGGAATGCTCTACTGGTTACTACCTCACAGGAAATGTCAGGTAGTAGAGAAGAGTAAATGGATTATCTTGATTACATTTTGTAGTAGTAGAGAACGTTTTCCCACTTGTGTTTGTAGGCATGGAAGATTAATTTGATCATATAAAATTCAAAGTTGCAAGAGGCATGTGGTTGTGTTCCCTTTAAAATTCCTTGAGTGACTCAGTGCAGGTCATTTTAAAAATGACTTAGATTTTCAAATGCTGTAAAAGCACTGAGAAACTTAGGCTCCTTGTTCAAGGAGTATAGCAGCTGATATAAAACAATTCTCCTTACGTGTGTGGGTTAATTTGTTACTTTTGGGGAGATGAACACTGAAAATGGACCATGACTTTTCCCATGGGATTTTTCTTTAATGAAACCAGGTATCTTAACCTTCATTTAAACTGTATTTATTGTCTTCAGAATTTGCTTCTACTATGAATTCCTCTCTAATCCCATCCTTTTTGTACTATTCAATAGCCACATTACCGTTATAGTGAAAAGATTAACTCAATTACTTATATATAACATGGTTCCATTTTAATACAATTGCAGGGAAAAATAAATTCAGGGAATGCCTACTGTGATCTCATCCCTTGCTAGTTTGGCAAGGGTTATGTGAAGAGTCAGTGTAAGGTGTGATTCTTACACAATGGCAAATCAGGCTTATAATGTCGGCATTGAAACATACAAGGTTGTAGACTGTTAAATTGTCAAAATGAGTAGTAGAGCAAACAAATACTCAGAAAAGTGAAAGATCAATATAAGTCAATTACATAACAGACATGTGGCCTGTTTTATTATTACTTTAGGTGGTTACTCTTCTGTGAGTGCAGGTCCTTGATCATAGTGAAAAATGAAATGAGAAAGTATGAATGGTTCAACAGAACCCAACACCTCTCTGAGAAAAGAATTTTTCCTCTCATCTACTATCTTTAAAGAACAAAAGTCCTGTAGGGTATTACAATCTCTCTCTTCATGGTGCCACCATGTCCAACAACATACAGCCTCAGTATGTGTACCAGGCTGACTCTGAGTCTGCTGGTATATTAGTAATTGCCATTTATAGGAAAGGATATTTATAAATTGATTAGTTGTATATATTCATGAAATTTAAAAATACATTAAAAGGGTAGCTTATATTGCAGATATATATTACTGCATTGTTTAATTTTGTATGAAAACATTTTTTATTTTTTAAATACAATTTCCAAAATGAAAACTAAAAGGTTTTCAATTTGATAATGCAGGGTTTTTTAATTTGTTTGGTCTGAGATTTAATGATGGTCATTTTCTTTTGCAGTGGAATCAAATACATTGCCTCTCTCGCTGCATTCTATAAGAAGTAGCCTACTGCTAGGCTTTAGGAGGTAAGATGATGAACTTAAATGTTCCTTGCCTGAATATGGACTGAATTCTCCTGTCCTTTTGACTTACTGCGTGTGGAAAAATACAGCTATTCTTATCTTTCAGTGTACATTCAGTTTACCTGAAATAACCTTTGCCTATTTAATTTTTCCTTTTAAGTCATTGAATTAAATTTAGGCAGCTTTGTATCATCTTTTCCAAGAAATGCACACAGGTTTGGTAAAGATCCTGTTTCCAGGAAGAAAGTCCTGTTTCAAAATGGCAAGTTGGAGTTACAGACAAATTTGCATATGTATGTTCAGCTTATTGTTTGAGCATTTAATTACAAGGTGACTTTTATTCAGTAAAGTATCATTCTCCCCTTCTGTGTGCTCAGAGAATGTTAATGACCTTGCCCTTCCAATTTTGTTATTTTGAAAATAGATAAACATAAAGAAAAACTGAAAGAATAGTGAAAGGAAATACTCCCGTACTACCCTTTTTTATCTGATTTATTTTTTTGAGACAGAGTCTTCCTCTGTCGCCCAGGCTGTGATGATGCAGTGGTGTGATCCCAGCTCACTGCAACCTCCGCCTCCTGGGTTCAGGTGATTCTCCTGCCTCAGCCTCCTGAGTAGCTGGGACTACAGGTGCCCACCACCATGCCCGGCTAAGATTTGTATTTTTAGTAGAGGTGGGGTTTCACCATGTTGGCCAGGCTGGTCTCAAACTCCTCACCTCAGGCGATTCACCTGCCTTGGCCTCCCAAAGTGCTGGGATTATAGGCATGAGCCACCGTGCCCATCCTCCATGTTACCCTTTGTGTAGATTTGCCAGTTGTTAATATTTTGCCATGTTTACTTTCTCTCATACCCTCTTTCTCTACACAGAAAGTACCTACACACACACACACACACACACGTTTTTTTCTTTTTGGCTGAGCCACTTGAAGTTGTAGACATTATGACACTGGATCTTTCAGCATATTTTATTTCTCTTAAGAATAAAGTCATCTTGGCCGGGCGCGGCGGCTCAAGCCTGTAATCCCAGCACTTTGGGAGGCCGAGACGGGCGGATCACGAGGTCAGGAGATCGAGACCATCCTGGCTAACACGGTGAAACCCCGTCTCTACTAAAAAATACAAAAAACTAGCTGGGCGAGGTGGCGGGCGCCTGTAGTCCCAGCTACTCGGGAGGCTGAGGCAGGAGACTGGCGTAAACCCAGGAGGCAGAGCTTGCAGTCAGCTGAGATCACGCCACTGCACTCCAGCCTGGGCGACAGAGCGAGACTCTGTCTCAAAAAAAAAAAAATTAACAATACCGTACCACCATCTGATATATGTAGTCCATGTTCAGATTTTCCCACTTTAACAAGTTTCCTTTATAGATATTTCACTTTTTGACTGAGGAGTCAATTAAATTGATGCATTGGATTTGATTGCTGCATCTCTTTATTATCTTAATTCAGAACAATTTCCTTACCTTTTTTTGTTTGCTTGTTTGTTTGTTTGTTTGTTTTTGAGACGGAGTCCAGGCTGGAGTGCAGTGGCCGGATCTCAGCTCACTGCAAGCTCCCCCTCCCGGGTTTACGCCATTCTCCTGCCTCACCCTCCAGAGTAGCTGGGACCACAGACGCCCACCACCTCGCCTGGCTAGTTTTTTGTATTTTTTAGTAGAGACGGGGTTTCACCATGTTAGCCAGGATGGTCTCGATCTCCTGACCTCGTGATCCGCCCGTCTCGGCCTCCCAAAGTGCTGGGATTACAGGCTTGAGCCACCGCGCCCGGCCTGTTTGTTTTTTAGTAACTCTGGCTTTTTTTTTTTTTGAAGAGCCTAGGCTGGAATGTCTCTTCCACATTTTGTATTTTTCTGATTTTTGTTTTTCCCCATGATGAGACTCAGATTAAGCATTTTTAGCAAGAATACTCCATAGGTGATGGGCACATCTTATATTGTATCACATCAACAGATATAAAGGCAGGTGTGCAATAATGATGCCATTACCTAAGTTTGATCACTTGGTTAAGATGGTGATTCGCACATCTCTCTTGCAGAGGCACCTCATCCAGTTTGTAATTACTAAGAATACTATGGGGTGATAATTTGAGACTGTGTCTACCCTGTTTTTCCATTACTTTTCCGTCCTTGGTTTTAGCAGCCATGGGTAATCCTTGTTGAATTAGTTATTGGTAGTTAACACAAGGATGAGTTTCTTTTTTTGAGATAAGGTCTCGCTCTGTCCCCAAGGTTGGAGTGCAGTGGTGCAATCACAACCTACTGCAGCATTTACCTCCCGGGCTCAAGCGATCCTCACATCTTACCCTCCTAAGCAGCTGGGAGTATGGGCGCATGCCACCATGCCTGGCTGAGTTTTAAAATTTTTTTGTGGTGATGGGATCTCACTGTGTTGCCCAGGCTGTTCTGTTGAGAGAAGCAATATAGCACAGTGATTCATAGTTTTCTTTTCTTTTATTTTTCTTTTTTTTTTTTTTTGAGACAGAATCTTGCTCTGTCACCCAGGCTGCAGTGCAGTGGTACGAACATGGCTCATTGCAGCCTCCATCTCCTGAGCTCGAGTAATCCTCCTGCTTCAGGCTCCCATTTAGCTGAGACTACAAGTGTGCACTACCACGCCCAGCTAATTTTAAAATTTTTTTGTGGAGATGGAGTCTCACCATGTTGCCCAGGCTGGTCTTGAACTTCTGGCCTCAGGTGGTGATCCCACCTCTGCCTTCCAAAGTGCTGGGATTACAAGTGTGAGCCACTGCATCTGCCGCCCAAATCTTTTTTGATTCATTGATCCCTTTGAGAATTTGTTGAAAGCTATGGTTCAATTTTCCCCGCAAAAGATGCATATTATAAAATTATGACTATAATTTAATGGAGTTCATGAAGTACTTTCCCTCTCCCTATAAAAACCCTTATGGTGGAAGCCAAATAAGAGCCTGGAGTGTATCCTTCCATGCTTTTCTCTGTATAGAAGCAGAAACTTGTAAGAGGTGTTTGAAGTTTTGTTTTGTTTAAACAAAAGTAGTATATCATACTTTACATACTACTCCTTATCTTTATTTTGCACTTAACAATACTTCAATGAACACCTCTTGGTCTACTGATATAAATCTAAGTGTTTATTAATATCTGGAGAGGATTCCATGGTATGGCTATACCATAAATTTTCAATCACTCCTTTATTAATGGACTCAGATTGCTTCTAATTTTTGCCACTACCAAAACAAAGTGGTACATTAAATATTATGTCCATATATATGTGTGTTTGTGCACATGCATGCATGTGTATATGTATTATATATACATTAGTTTTTTCCCCCTCAATGGCTAGAATGTGAAAAAGAGACATCTGTTTTCAAGAGTGTATGTATTCTTTAATAGCTACTACCATACTACTTTCCAGAAAAAGTTGTATTAGCTCATACTTAGATTAGCAATTCACACTTCTACCAGCAATATATAAGAGTACCCACTTCCTGCAAACATACAGGTATTAGACATTATAATGCTTTTTAATTTTGGCCTAGCTGATGGATGAGAAATGACATCTCAACGTATAATTTTCAATTTGCATCTTCCTAACTATTAAGCAGGGTTAGAACATACTTATTGGCCATTTGGATTTCTTCTATGAAATGCCTATTTAAATTCTTTGCCAGTTTTCTACTAGGTCATACAGTTTTTCTTGTCAATTTATAAGGTGTTGCATTTGAGGGATATTTATCTATACACTATCTCGTGAAATACATGATTTTTTTTTTAACCTTATTGCAGAGATGAGAGAGAAATGTAAGGATAAGATCTTGGATGGTTACTGGAAGGAGTCAGAGGAGTTTGTAGTCAGTGTTGCAAGCTGCAGAGATGGAGGAGAGATAGCCCTATAGAAAGAGGGTGTTCAGTTTGGTATTTGGAAAAGTTATTGAGTTTTTTTTTTTTTTTTTTTTAATGGAGATGAGGTCTCGCTATGTTGCCCGGAGTGCTGTCAAACTCCTGGGCTCAAGCGAACCTTCAGTGTTGGCCTCCCAAAGTACTGAGATTACAGGAATGAACCACTGGCCTGACCATTATTGAGTATCTTTAAGAGAAGAGTTTTGATACTATTGTGGTGGAAGAAGCCCAGCTAGAAGCTCTGAGAATCTTGGTGTCTTTGTTTTGTTTTTAGTGATTGGATTATATATACTATAACTGAATTTATCTATGCTTTCAGATTATTTATATTTTTATTTGAAAAGATACATTGAAAAATACTGGAAAGGTTACCTTATCTTTAAACCACACCAGGCTAGGTGCTTTGCTTCTCCCCTGACTTACATCCTTTTTGGTGCTTTCCCTATTTGTTAGCATCTAAAATTTTTAATTGATTCCTGGGTTTAAAAATAGCCACAGATTGATCATTTTTTTAACTTTCCACTTTAGAGTTAGATAAAATGTTAAAATATGTTTAACAAAGGGGACATTACCCAGGAGCCTCCCGTGTTTGCACAGTTACAAATCCATCTTTATTCTTGACATAGTAAAAATAAGTTTAAGCGGATTCCTTCCAGGAACATATTTCAACATGTAGGTCCTAAAACTGTATACTATTGGTTAATTTTTCTTACTGTAGATAAAGAAAAATTTTTAGGTTGTGGTAACTTGGCATTTTTCATAAGAATATGTGCATAATTGAGAGCACTTGTGTGACTACAGGTGATTTCTTTCTTTTTCTTCTACTCCGAAAACTACTAAAAATTCAAAATGTAATTGATGTAATTGCAATTCATTATCTTGGCATTAATGTAGCCAGTGTATGTTTTTGTTTGATGTCAAATTAACTAGTATATTTAAAAATCCCTTTGTCAGTATAGTTATTGAAACAGTCACCTGTTGTGCTCCTGAGGGTCCCACTGTACTCTAGCAACTTTAGAATTGGCTGAGTGACTAGGAGAAAACTTACTGGCATTGATTTACATTGCCCGTAGAGCCAAGGTTAACTACCTACAACTCCTACAATGATTAGCTTATAAGAGATTCA